TCAGCCTGCAGCTCTGTAAATATGTACAGCAGCAGCTTACAGGCAGAGCATGTGCACAAGGGACTGCCCCTCTCAATGGCAGCCTTCATTAGCAGCAGTTTATAGCAACCCTGTAAACCACTGAATAGCTGCTTGCAAACACCATCAGACATTAACACACGCTTAAAATGTTAAGAATAGTAAGGATCCAGTCCAAGAGACACTCTAACCTCCTGTCATTTCATCAGTTTCACGATCTCCCTCTTAGAAGGATATTCATTGTTGTAACAAGTAACAATATTTGAGTACATTCAGTAAATTCAGTTTTCAAACAACCCAAACATAACAACCAAACAACAACCAACCCTCCACAAGAAACAATTCCCTTTTGATGATTTAATTCATCTAGCACCTACTATACCTTTTTATGGCTTCATAGGCTAAACAAGCATGTCTTTAGTCTTTAAACTGGCTAGCCATCACGCATCCTTATCCTGTGGCTATAGGAGCACAGACAAATAAAGCTCATGCCCATCTTGTGGAGTTACAACTTAAACCTTTCAGGTTTAAGAAGAGTCGTTGCAATTTCAGCTTCTATCAGTGGTGAAATAATAGTTTAGATAAGCCAGTGATTTGTAAGTAAGTGGCTTAATAATTTTATTCTGGTTGTCAATAAATAAAATCCAAACACTATAAAACTTACTTTTCACTTTTGGTTTTGATTTCTCTTCTTTCACTTTCACTCCTGTGATAGCTGCAAGCTCTGCTTCAAGGTCCCCATCATCCCCACCATCCTCTGCAGCCAGCAGCATCTCTTCTGGATTGAAATCTACAAAGAGCCCCAGCTGGAGCCAAGGGAAAATAAAATACCGCAGTTAGAATAGAGATGACACTCAAACCCATCACATTGCGTCAATTACTGAAACACTGTCATGCATTCTGGATTCTGCTCTTTGGTTTTTTTAAGGCCCACTCTCATACCACTTCTATTACCAAAATAATGCACACCGGGCATTAATCACTAACTGACATGAGGCACATAAATCTTAATAAGCCACAAATACTCCCTCTAAAACTCCACACAATCAATGATTCCTTAAAATCAAGCCTTTTTAACAGTCTGACATAATAAAGCAAAACAAAATGATGTCTGTTATACTGAACCTCATGAAGCAGATATCATCAGGGAAGTTCAGGGCAGTTCCTGCTAACAGCTAAGCTAAAAGGTATGTAATCATCATTCACACAATACCAGTCTGACATGTGTACACTGCAGAGATTTACCCCTTATGTCTTGGAAGAAGCTATATTCACATATACAGAACTGCTCTGTGCTTCTCCTTACCTCAGTTTGTAAATCACAAACACATGGAAGATGCATGCGCACACACAGCCTTACAATGTATCATGGATTACAAATACAGGATTGCCTATGGTACACTGGAGAAAACAACCAACTGTCTGGACATATTATCAGCTAAGCAACATATCACCATATGCTGCTTATCGTCATATCATCAGCTAAGCAACAGCATCTTCAGCAATCTTATTAATAACAGTAATCAGAATTTGTCAAAGTAGTAGGGTTATCACTCAATTGTTGTAAAATATGCCAAAGGACATAGGTATCAGAGAAACCTGAGGTCTCAGACTAAAAGGTATTCTTCTAAGATACCTTTTTATCACAATTGTTACATTGCTGGTTAAGACACTAACTGCCCCAGAAATAACATTTTTATTCACAGTATGCTAAGCTTTTTTGATAAACATGAATTAACTGAATTAGGTTCATCCTCTGAGGTAGTCAGAATAACTTCCCTCAGACTTTTTCTAAGCACAGGCCTCAGTGTGACTTATCCATCTTCACATGGCCAAGCAGGCAGCAGTGCAGCCTCTCTCAAGCCAAGGAATAAAACTCAGTTGTCATTATTACAACAGTTAACAATCTCTTCCTGCCTCTGAGGACGTGCAGTGCTGCCAGAAGCTGAAGCTGCCTTGTGTAACAACCTTTTTTAACCCTATAGGAATTGAGATGTTGGCGGCTACCGCCTTGAAATGTTTTATGACTCTCTTTGAACTCTTCCAAAGAAGAATGTGAAATATGGCTGAGAAACATGGATTCCAAGGACCAGGAACAGTATTCAAAAGTAGCAGCTATTTGCTAGCCCTGATCCTGCAAGACACTGGGCAGATCATTTAGCCACCTTCTGCCTTATCCACCTCCCTTCTGTAAAACAAAACTAATACATTTGCAGTCTTGGATAGAATGGAAAGAAGATCAGGATACGATTTAGTTAGGAAATATTTATAATGGAGATCTAAATATTAAAGTGCTCTGGAACATGCACACACATATCAATGTGCAAAATGGATCAGGAGCACATCTGAGCCATTCTTCACTACAAGTGCAGAAAGTTAAACAAGTGTAGTAATGAATTCAGTCAAGAACAGAATCCAGCAGTTCAAGCACTGAGTCTCTCAATCTGTTCAGTAAGCAGCATTTCCAATGAAATTAATGGTATTAAATAAATACTTAATGAAGCAGAAAAAGAGGTTCTAAAAAACTTGCATTTGATACACCACATAGCACAAAACCAGTTTAAATCGAGTTAATTTGCAAGTGAGAAAGCTATTAGTGAATCTGCGTCAAGAAACAACCCTCTATGCTGTCAGGCTGAATAACCAACTGTATTGAATTAGTAATTAGTAAGATATCTTAATCAGATCCTTTGTTTATTCTTTATCTGTTTAAAGTGCTGTTCTTTTTTTTTGGAAAGGGGAAAATATATTTTCACCTTTATCTTCTCCCTTGCTCAAACAGACTATCTATTACCTCTCCAATTCAGAAACACAAACTTTCATACTAGAGCAGGAGCAATGTTACAGATCTCTAACTAAACCATTCTGTTTCCAGTATGAGAACGCTGGTTCCTAAGAAATCACCAAAAGAGAATATCTTAGCTATTTTTCTATTCTAGCATCCTATTCCAATGTCTTTTTGCATTTCCTTCTATTTTTTATCAGTGACTCCTCCCTCTTGTTACCTGCCTTTATTCTATCTCCAAAAGTTTCTAAAGTTCCACTCTGGTTCTAACGCATTCTTTACCTGTTCCACCCACAATTTGCCTTGGCTGTATTTCTGATTTTGACACTGTTGCCTGACTCCCCACACTGGCCAGGCATGACTACATCGTGTTTCTCTCCTGAAGGCTTCTGAAACTACAGCGAAAGGTAAAGACTGTGAAAAAACCCCAACAGCCACACACACACATCTAAGCTCACTTTTAGTGTGATACAGACTTATCGGTCTACCTGCTCCAAGAAAAAATGATTATATACTAGGAAATTAACTGTTTCTGGTGTAGCACCTTAATGTTCTCCCATATGTGCCCCTGAATTTGTTATCTGATACTACAGTCTTTTTATTTCTGTCTTCTTGGAGATGCAAGACAAGCCTTGGTATAGTTATTGATAAACCAGAGTATACCCGAGGTAGTAAACTACTGTAAGCATGAGTCATGAGGTCTCCTACAAAGATTACAGCATTACAACATTGTGGTTTCCCTGCAAGACCTCCACTGTTGCATATCAGGTATTTACTTTTGAGAAGAATGTGCTGAAGGAGAAAGCAGGAAAACAGGCACCATGCAATTTAATTTTGCCATGGTCCTGCAGTATCTTATTAACACACAGGAAGATTCTAGCAGGAAAACAGCAGGAAGAGGCCTGAGCTGTGGGAGTAGGAGGTTTCCCTACCTGCTTTGCAACCACATCTCCCTAGCCCTTTACCTTCCTTACCTGCTTTGCAACTGCAGCTCCCTGGCCCTTTGCCTGAGGGCTTTTCTTAGGTCTTCTGCCAAGCATGTTGGTTCATTAATTTCAGAGGGCTGTGTCTCTAAGGGACTGAAAGCACACGAAACTGAACGTCAGTATCCCCACCTGTCTCAACGCACCGCCAACCGGACGAAGGCAGGCGGCACAGAGCAGGCTGAGCACACCCCTCCAGCACCCCCAGACACCGGGCAACACCAGGAGAGGGGCGAAAGGGGGCCACACACCAAGGAGCACACTCCCCAAGGCCCAGGCCCGCCAGTGCCGCCCTCCCCACAGCCGCACCCCTCCCTCGGCCTGAGGCGGCTCACACCCGGCGCGGCCCGGCCCCGGTGGCGGGCACCGCTCGCAGGTCAGCGGGACCCCTCCGTCCCCAGCGCCCCGTGAGGGCGGGGCAGGCCCGGCCCGCCCCGTACCCCTGCGGAGCCCTCCCCGCCCCGGAGCAGGGAGGAGCCGGCGGAGGCGATAGGCTGAGAGCGGGGTAAATAACCGCCGCCTGCCGCCCAGGGCCGCCGCGATGGGTCAGCCCGCAGCGGGCAAGCCCCGGCTCACCTCGGCCTCCTGCAGCCCGCCCAACGGCGCCCGGTGAAGCGCCTCCCGCCCGGCACGGGGACGCCTCGGCCGCGGCTCCAAGGCGGCAGCGCGCCTGCGCGAAGGGGCGGGGCCAGCGGAGGCGGGACCCTCGGGGGCCTCACGGGGGGAGCGGGTTTGTAGCATGGCGGCGTTACTAGAGGTAAATGGTGCGAGCAGTGCCTCTTTTAAACCGAAATGAACCCCAAAAGCCCACGGTGGTTACTTGAATGACAGTTTTTCTTCTGGTGTTTTTATTTTCCTAGTAGGAAACAGCCTCCTCCCTTCAAACTAAAGTTCCTTTTCATTATATCATTAAGTTTAAGCATATCTTAACGTGTCTTTTACACTCAATGAAGAAAAGCTATATAAACAGCAATGCCACCAGTCTTAAAAGAAGGCAGTGATGGAAGCAACCTTTCCAAGCTTCCACACCTCAGCTGAAAGGGGACCACTTACCACACTATCTTAAAAACAAATAGCTTGATTTCAATTATTTAAAATGCTTTGAAGCAAATTTATTATATCAAAATATACACCAAATATTCCAGCCAGCTATTTAAAAAAAATACATATCACTATTTTGTCAATAAAAATACATATTAAAACCTCTATTTTTCCTATTCATCCTTGAGGGCATACATGATGTCGTCCTGGCTGACGTTGAGTCGCACCCGCAGCTCGAGGTACTTAGCACTGGACTCCACCAGCAAGAGCCTGCAGGCACCGAGTCTTGAACAAACTGCCATCACTTCTGACACTGTAGGGCTCGGGATGCCTTCCATTCTACAGAGAGCTAGAAGGTGACGGTAGACCTGTTAGAGAGAGAGGGAGAACTAACTGTTAGGGCTTTCTTGAGGAACAAGTAATTCCAAGCTATAATTTCCTTTTTTCATAGAGCCAAAAAAGCAAAACAATTTGCAAACCAACTTGTCTGCAATTTAAGTAACTGGATCATTTCACCTGTTATTACACCTCTTGACTAGGTGGCCTAAAGTTTACCCAAGCAGATTAAGAGCTGCCATACAATTACATATCAATTCAATTCACTCAGAAGTGATACTCAGGCCCCAGTGGCTGGTAAACAAAAGCCACACTGACTACAGACATAGAATCATAGAATGGTTTGGGTTGGAAAGGACCTTAAGATCATCCAGTTCCAACCCCCTGCCATGGGCAGGGACACCTCACACTAAACCATGTCACCCAAGGCTCTGTCCAGTCTTGCCTTGAACACCACCAGGGATGGAGCATTCACAACTGCCTTGGGCAACCCATTCCAGTGCCTCAACACCCTCACAGTAAAGAACTTCCTCCTTATATCCAATCTAAACTTCCCCTGTTTGAGTTTGAACCCGTTACTCCTTGTCCTGTCACTACAGTCCCTAATGAAGAGTCCCTCCCCAGTATCCTTATAGCTCCCCTTCAGATACTGGAAGGCCGCTATGAGGTCTCCACACAGCCTTCTCTTCTCCAGGCTGAACAGCCCCAATTTCCTCAGCCTATGAAAGATCACAGCTTAGAAAGGCATGATGCACCTTTAACCACAGGAGAACACACTTCTCAAATCATGCAGACTGGTAAATTTGTAACAAGAATTAGTTGGGGTCTTCTGCTTTGCTATTTAGAAAAAGCAGATAAAAACACTTTGGATGTTAAAGGAAAACGAAGGGGAAAACAAACCAGTCTAACAAAATACTCTTTGAAGTTTGAGTAGTGATCGCACAGTGTATCTATGCAATCAACTGATGCAGATGTTCAGGAGCCAGTAACAGAAAATGCATTAATTTTAATTAAAATTTAAAATCATACTTATGAACCAGCAGAACCAGAAAACTGGCAAGTTATTTTATATATCTAGTTCTAAACATTTTTCTAAGTGTTAACATCGAGCTTCCATACTGTGAATCATGAAGACTCTGTGCAGAGACTTCACAGCACTGCTGGTACCAGGTATTTTATGGTCCTCCTAAAAAATTGATGTACCTACTTCTATTGAGAAGGACAGTGCTATGGAAGTTGGAATCAACTTCCAGTTTTCCTCCTTGAACTACATCGCCTGATTATATTATATTGTCTTCCATCAAGTTTTAAGACTAAAAACTCCAAGTATTTAAATAGTTACACTTTGGCCTGACCAAAAAAAGAAGAGGTGTAGAACTAAGGGGTAAAGTGCCAAAATTAAGGGGGGGAAGATTCAGAACACAAACATACCTGTTGAACTGTTGCCTCTTCAACTCCTGCCCTGCGAAACTCTGCTAAAATTGCCTTCAAAAAGATTTGTTCATGGAGCGAGGCATTCCTGCATATCAAACAAACAGACAAAAGTCAATCTGTGAAGTTCAGAACTTATGAAACATTAGAGAAAAAGTCTGGAAGGGAAATTACTGCTTGGTAACCACCTATTTAAATGCAGGTTATCTTTCTACCATAGAGGGGCAGTCTGGGTCAACCAGCCATTGTATTACAGCCTGCAGCTCTGGCACCACAATGCACTGCATTTCATTTCACCTCACCTCTCTTTCAATGTATCTGAACACAGCATTTCATTCCATACATCATAAATGTTCTGCAGTGTGTATTGATCAACTTACATTCATGAATTTACAAATTAACATTGAGGCTTCCAGGCACAAGTAGCACATTAAAAGCAGCACTTGCATATCCAGCAGAATATCCAATTTTCATCCCTTACTCCACCATCTGGGATGAAACAGAGTTTGGGATGTTTTGTTTTTGACCAGAACTGGTAAAGCACTTTACCAGTTCAGCTTGTGCAGACCACAGAGTCAACAGAATTTCTCATTTATTCCCTTAGGAAACGTTTTGGAAGTCCTAAGAATCTATTTATGTTAAAGAAAGAAACCAAATGGGAACTTCTTGCATCCTGCTTAGGCATCTGTGGCTGCATCTAAGCGAGCAAAGATGGTGGCATGATACAAGCAGATGTGTAGAGGGGAATACTTTGACTCTTGAGGACCTGATGACTACACTATGCACCTCTGAGTGGTTTTTCCTTCAGTCTGGCTCAAAGTCTGGTCCATTAAGCTGATATCAGTAGTGTTTGTAGTTGTGGGCTCATGGGTAAATTCTCTAGATTTAGTCCCAACTGAAAGGAATTCAAATACATGTACTTGGAAACTGCTGCCTAGTGAAATCAATGTACAGTACGCAGGGACAAACAGGAAATTCCAAAAGCCCCCTCCTGATCTAAACATCCTGTATAAACCTGTACAAGGGTTTCTGTGACTTTGTTTCCCCTTTAATTCCTGTTTTGTACCTCTCCCAGCTATGCTACAAGGTTTGTTTTGTATCACACTTTAATAAAGCACAGTGCATCACATATGCTCCCAAACAGTGGTGAGGACAGACTGAGTGGTTTCGGAAAAGAAGTGAAGTGAAAGAGATACAAAAGCAAGGAGATTCCTCTGGGATGTTTTTACCTGATTGCATTTACATATGGTGATGAGAACATTTCATCTATGGCTTCAGTCACATGGGCCATCCTGACTATCTCAGGGGTTCCCTTTTGGCTATCGAACTCACAGATCTCAGTGGCCCTTCTGCAGATGTCAAGACAACGTCTGGCATCACCAGACAGTGCTGCTACCTGAAAGTGAACAGGACAGGTTTGTATTTACTACAAGTTGAAAAAGCGAACAGAAGAATCAACAGACAAAAGAAAATCCAACAAAACAACCCAACCACAAAACAGGAGAGCAATGCTACTGTGAACTATGTTATTCAAACTGGGATTCTAGGAACAATCTCACTGACCGAAACCAACAGAAGTAGCCCTGCTACACCATGATTTGGTTATCACAAATTCAAGACTGATCTTTTTTCTGTAATCAAGAAGTCAGAGGTTAAAAAAAATAATGTAGGAAATTCAATCCACTGCCACACAAGGGTTTTTTTTAGGATCATCCAATGACTCACATTAAACAAAACACTGGAGAAAGCTGACATCATTACACATGACTTGTCATATCCAGCTCTTGGAATATACTGCCGCCTTCACAACGTAGGTGGGAAATGCAAGGACACTGCTTTAGCAATGTTTCCTGCAAAAATACCCTGTATACCTTACAGAGAGCATAATGTGAGATCTGCTATTTGCACCCCACTTGTCTCCAATACAGAACCACAGACCAAGTCTGACTACTAACATTCTCCCCTGCTGTACCCCACACTCTCTACCTAGCACAACACAGAGGATGTACATCTGCACTGTGCTTACCTTTCTGGAAACCAGCTGAATTGCATCCTCTTCAAATGCCTTTATGTTGTTCAGTCTGGATGAAATAATTTGCTGTAGCTGTTTGTAGGTGTAGGGCTGAAAGGACATTCTGGTGAGGCCCTACAATAAACAATACAACACAGTGAGAAGCATTTGTAATGCTTGAAAACTCTCAACTGCTCAAGCATAGCCTGTATAGTTGGTTTTATTTTCTCTACTAGGAACACTCTCTCTTTCACATCCTTCTCCTCCAAGTGATATGCTCCAATCAGTTGTTCCACTTTGTGAAGTAAAAATGCAAATCCACAAAACTGACTAAGTGAGGATCCCTGTTGGAACTCCCCACTGAAAGGCCTGAGGAGCAAGTGAGGTTGCTATCAAAGTTCAAATTCCCTCTTACAAAACTTGTTTACAAGTCGGAACCACCTAATATGAAAACCTTTGATTACAACTGGTGTACACTTTAACACAGAAACAGCAGAAGCTCTGAAAGAATATTCATCTCTCCTTTAGCAAATCTGTGTACATCTTTAGTTATACTATTGACTTCACGTTAGCAATCAAACTGCTTTCAGAGGAGGAGGACTATCTGTGTTAGAGATGGTGCGCTGTCTTTCATATTCTACAGGCGGCCCGAGTTTTGCATTTCTTATGCAAAATTCTTCCCCCTTGTGACTATATGGACTCAGCTGATATGCAGGTTTAGTGGGTGGGGGAAAGCAATTCACACACTGTGGAGCTATTTGAGTCACGGAAGGTTGGAGGCACAGAGCACTGATTTTCGCAAATCACTTTTCAGAGCAGCAATAAAGAGATAACCCAGGAAAATGTATTCAACATCTAACTTTCTGTCCAAAGGTATCCAACAAAAGAAGTCTACAAGCTGGTGATGGCTAACAGATAGAACTAACTAGGTGGCTGGAATGCAAGGGGAAGAGGAAGGGAAACCAGAAGATAGTTTTCCTGAAGTCCAGAGTAAGCAGCTTAACCGTGAAGCACGACATTTGATTATCCAGATTTTAATATGTTTAAAAGACATCTGCATTCCTAATTTATTCTTACAAGAACATAATGTACTTACACAGCATAACATCTGATTAGCAAGCCGGCTCTTTGCTAAAATTTATGTGTTCATTATCAGCCCTCTGGAGAGGGAATTACAAAAGCATTGTTCAACCTTGGATGTAACCAATCCTGCCTTTCTCCTGGATTACTTTTAATTGCATATAGTATTTAATCTGTTTTCATTCTACAACATAGCAACAGAACTGCTAGGACATACCAGCCTGCTAGCTACTCTGTTCATCATTATTCTCTCTGGCAAGTCCATGGTGTTAGCGATGGCCAAGATGATTAATTTGGAGTGCTTTTGAGTTGGCCAGTCAAATAAATTGTACATCACATTCTGTTTCCGGGTCCACAGAAGATCAAGCTGCAGAGATAGAAAGAGAAGAATTAGACTGAAAAAGAATAGCTTTGTATTTACCAGACCTGATGGGGGTGAGAGAGCCAACTCTGCTACATAAGACTTCTTACGTGATTCTGAACAAGCCGTCTCTGTTGCATTTCCGTTATCCATCTACTGGTAGGACTGCTTCCTCTGAGTTAGGGCATTAATCTCTTTTGGAAAAGCGCAGTCCCACTACATGCTTGAGCAGTATTAATCACAGTAGAGTGATTAAACAGCTGGAGATTTTAAACACTATTGTGATATTAATGCCACATCTAACAAGATTAAAAGACCCTCCATGTAAGAACCTGAATAAGCTCACAGCAAAAAGAAGTATGTATTTATTTATTACTGAACACAGCTTACTTGAAGGAGTTTCAAAACTGGATATGATTTATTTCACGCTGAGTTTTCACACTGGAAAAGCAGCAGCTTCCAGACAAAATACAGTTGAATTCTGTGGCATTTAGGACTTGACAGAACAAGTCATTCTATGACTTGGACCAAAACAAAACATAAACTCAATGTGAAATCCATGGCAGAGAACAACATAGCAACAGGATACTTGCTTATTTAAATTCAGTTTCCTAATAAGGCTAAGAGGAACTCCTTGTGCAACTGATCTGCCAAGTCTGTTCCTTTTACATCACATGATATACTCTAAGCACGTATAATTTGTCTGTCTTCATCCTCCAAAAAATAATGTCCTATGATACATCAGGGAAAGAGAAAGAAGGATTCTTTGTCTCACCTCATCCACTACCAGCACTGTGGTCTTCCTCTTTGGTCCAGGTGTACTGAACAGTTTTCCCAACAGTACTGCAGCATGGGTTGCAGTCACCTTTTGACCTGTCAGTAACTGGACAAGGATTAAACAATGCTGCAGGTTAATCACACCAAAACTCTGGAAATAGGAAGTTTAACTCCTATTTGGTTTTAACTTTCCTCTAGCAATCAACACAAAGCATCTAGATTTTGGCATGGGGAAGCGGGGTTGTGTGTAAAAAAGTAGCTCATAAGATACTCAGGTCTCCCAGAAGCTGTCCATAAAGGAGCACAGAAGAATACATAGCTGAAGAGAAAGGCCTTTAGAATTTACTGTAATTATATAAAAACAAGCACAGCCAGTAGTCCCAGATGAGGTAACTGCAGATTAGTTTGTCATAGAAGTCCAGTATTGTTGACAGAGACAGTCCCTCTTTAGCTGGATTGCTATCATGACAGGCTAGTTAACAATTAAGACCCTCTTAGTAATTATTGTTCTGTTATACCGACTTCCAGAGTTGTCATCTGAGTAACTTTTTAAACAGAAAAAGTTATAGAAGGGGAAACTATAAAAAGAATCTAGTTTAGATTTAAACCTGACTGCATGTAATCAGGCTATTCCCCAGCCACTGCCCTTACGCAGCTGAAAGCAAAAGAGTTCAAGAAGTTGTCCATCACCTCAAGTTAACTATTTTTGATCCTCCTCCAAGACAAAAGCATATAGTCTCTCAGAGGGACTATTTTATTTGGAAGTATTGATACATTAAGTGCCTTCAGTACTGTAACACTGTAACATTGAGGATCTAATAGCAAAGCATAAAATCTCCTTCAAACCAGAAAGCCACTGACAAGGCTTTACTTACCTCTAGTATCTGCACATAAGCTTGGTGAGGGTCAGTCAGCTTCATGCCATTGATCTCTAGAAAGTGGAATGATGGTAGCTCATCATTCTCTGCAGCTTGCTGAAGAGAGCACATCACTTCACGGACAGTTGCAGTTTTACCAGTACCAGGCACTCCAGAAATGTACATGCACCTACAAAAGGAGAACACTCAGCAGCTTGAGCAGAATGCTAACACTCTTAGGATCAATGAGCTGGAAATTCCTGGGCTCAGAGACCAGACTTGAATACTGCTCCTTTGTCACTCCAGGCAAATACTTTATGAATATAATTTACTTCTTTAAAAAGAAAGAAAATAAATGGTTTCTGAGACATCTAAAATTGACTAGTTATATTTTGGTCTTTAACTTGAATCTGTACAATAAAGGAGCCCACATTATTTTTATGCACAACCCTTCTTAAGGAAGCAAAATACCAAGAGAATTCAGCTAGAAACTTTAATTCAGCCAAATGATGATAACCTTTTAAATAAAAGCAGCGTTGATTGTCTGACACCACAACACTGCTGTTATGCCATAGGGAGATGTGGTGTTGGCTACAGTCTCAACAACAAACTCACCCTCCTGTTTCATCAATAAGCTTGCTTTCCACAAAGTTATAGATGTCCTGGTACTCTTCCTCACGACAGGGCAGAGATTCTGGGACAGCAGAAACATGCAGCCTTTGGATTGAAAATAAGAACAAGAAAAAGAAAGTTTAAATAGGAGGTCCAAGGTTGGCATTTTTGCAGTTCTACATGAAGGGCCTAGTGGGGAACACAAGGAACGAGGTGCTCCACCTCTCACAGCTGCATGTAGCTTTCCAAATCTCCTATGTACTTTAAGCCTGAACACCATATTATCAAACATCCCAAAAGAAATGGCCTTGACTCTCTAGATGTATTATAGGCTTAAAGAGGGCTGAACAATCATCTTCAGAAACAATCAGCACGAATATGCAGTAGTAAAGATCTAGTTGGTTTAATTCACAAAAATACTGCCAGTGTAGAGGTGGGATAAACCAGGAGAGAGTACTTAGAAGAAACTGAGAAAGCTACAACTCAGTTTGAAAGATACAGTCAGTCCTAAATGCCTCCCCCGCACTGTGAACATCTACAATGAGAGCTATAAAGCTTTTTCATACATTAAGGGGAGACAGATACTGTACCTTTAAAATCTAAAGCTAGTGAAAGAGGATATTTATTCTGTGCAACATTAGAAAAACAAAGATATTTAATTCTGCAGGACTTACCATGGACTGGTTATCATAATTTGAAATTGTAAAAGTATATTGTAAATGCTGCTAGTATTTGCAAATCTGGTATTGTACTGTAAATTCATAAATGCTCTGCTGGTATCAAACCATAATGCGTTTTTACCAAATTTAGACACCATGGTAAAGAGAACATTTCCCTCCTTCAGCACAGCCTACTGCTATGCACACCTGATGCAGAAAAGATTATATCCTCCCTGAGCACGCATTACAATTACCTTAATCTGGCCTCTTCTAGTACACTGGCTGGTTTCTGTGTTGCATTTTTGCGCTTGGGAATCTCAGGAGTCGCATTCCGGGGTGTCTTGGGTGTGCCTGGCAAAGGCTGCAAAGAAAAGTTACAACCTCATATTGATTTTCTACAAACAGCAATTTCTGTTGGAGACTGATCATTCATAAAAGTTTCCCAAACATTGCTTGGGGATGCCAGAGAATAAGATGAACAGAAAAAACAATCTTTACAAAGGGAATTACATACATGCCTCATACCCTTTTCTTCCCAAAGATAAAAAAGAAATTGGAAAGGGATGGTGACACCAACAATTACACCTTTTAACTGTCTGAAGGACTTTTAAATCGTGAATGCTTTTCTGAAGTGTTATGTTACAAAGTGATCTGGTTCTTTAGAAACAGCAAGCAACTAGGAGTTGATCTACCCGAATTTCATTGTCCAAATAGACAAGTGTTTTATACATTTATATATCCTACCGTGTCAAAGATCCTATGAATCAAGATAATGTTTCATTAAAAGCTAAGGGGTTCAGATACTTCATTTGATACACAGGCATCAAACATTCCAATAATTGGCTTGGAAATAATAAACCATCTCTCTCACATGGAACTTACAGTTTTCTTTGGGGTCCTGGCAGGGGTGCGAACTGAAGACTTCCTTGAAGATTTTGGGGTGCTGACTGTTCCACTTAATTTAGTTTTCTTTTCTGGCGTAAAGCTCTCATCATCCTCTTCTTCCTCACTACTTGAAGAGAACAAGCTGTCTGAGCTAGATGAAGACTCCTCTTCCTTGTTCAACTCTAGTGCATTTAATATGCTACGAGAAACAGAAATGAAGAGTTTTAAAAAAAACCCACATACAACAATGCACACTGCAAAGGATCATTTGTACATTTTCAGCTTTTTCGGTAGTTATCATAATGGGTAAGCCAACATAGTTGCCACTTGAGCTGTTCATTTGCCATAGCTATTTAACGGACTGGTTTAAAGGAAGTCAGTTTTCTGATGAACACCACGAGTTGGCTTTAGTTTTTATTCACATTGCAATTGAGCTGTGCTACTAGAACCACTTGCATTTCACTATTAAGCTAGACAAACGTCTCAAGGCTTCAAGCTGTCAGTAGCAACGTGAATAAGAGAGCACAGACACAAAAGTTCACCTGATTTGCTCTGCAATGCGAGAGCTTGTCTGCTGCACACAACTTCTTCTAGAGCGAAGGGTCAGTACAGGGCTCCGACTATGCAGCTCCCAGCATTTATTTGGACTGTAAAGAAAACACAAACTGTTTGTATTTCTTTGCATTACACTTGCGAAGATGAAGCCTTTCAAACTTCAGGCTCAATTGTTACTACACCTGTCAATCCAGTATGAATTCTTGTTGACAGTTATTTACAGACTGGCTACGGCATGGATACCGACAGTACAATTTCTCCTCTCTTCAATGTATCTTTGCCAAGAAAAAAAACCCAAACAAACAAAATATTTACTACAGTAATTTTGAATTAGCAGCCGAATTATTTTGCACACGTAACACTGCCAAAATGAAGAGACAAGGGCTCCAAGGTTTGGTTGGTTGTGGTTTGTCTTTTCTCTTTCTTGGGCTCTTCTTCATCCCTATCACAGGAACATTTTACCGTTAATACAACCTTCCAGCTAGTTCAAAGGACACAATGAGATGAATTATAGATGTTTTATTTGTTGATGGCTCTTAGAAATTATTTTAGATCTAGAAGTACTGCTGAATGCTGTTACCTTTCAATGAAGGGCAAATGTTTTTATGCTATACAATAACTGACAAAACCAGAGTGCAGATCCACCAAGTGTTGCATCCACATCTTTACACTTTGAAAGGAGGAACCTGACTTTGTTTTACCTTCTCGCAACATTTTACACAAAAAAGTCTGATCCATTCTCATCCTGCCCCAGCTTAATGCCATTTTTAAAGACTGTGTGAAGACAGACTTAAATATTTATGCTTTATGAGTTTTAATTTCTTTTCTGCATAAAAATCAGCATGAAGTATACATCCAAATATGAGAACGCTCATGAGGCCAATCACATCCCTTACTATACATCAACAGTTGTCACAAATAGGGCACATTTGAGCCTGTGACGTGTACTGCTGGGAAAATGATTTTTATCCATGTTGATGAGTACAAACAATAATGATCAGTAATATAGCTTCAGTTCCCTTTTACATCATCCTACCATTTCTATCTACAGCAACTTCTCTCTGTTCTTGTAATCACAAACAGTGTGCATCAATCTCTTTCAAGTCAGCTCCTCTTGTGATCCCCCTAATCACTCATTCATCTCCCAGGAACATGCTTTCTAAAGCTTCAGTGCTACCCCCCTTCTCTCAGTTATCTCAACAGGCAAAACATGCTACACTCAGAGACTTCACCTACTTCACCCTCCAGAAGTCTTTCATAAAGTGTGCTTTAAGAGAACTACACACAAACAGAACTCCCATACAAAAGTAATTACAAAAAGGCACTTACGATACAGTGTCATTTTTCACATCAAGATTCTTGGCTTTCCCACTGGAGTCTTTGACTTTAAAGGGGGATAATTGTAATGATTCAGTAAACCTCTGCCAGTACTCTTCACTGTCAAATACTGAATTTTCCTTATCATTGGTATGAGGTATTTTTGGTGGTGAGCTTAAAATGCCGGTGAATTTCACTTTTCTTTTAGTAGCTGATGGTTTTAACGGTGCTATGGCACCAATGTCATCATCCAAAAGATCCAAAACTTCACATCCCAGGAATCTGTCTTTAGGAGATCGTGTGGGACCTAGGAATCAAGAGCAAAACGAACTTTTGTCAGGCTTTAATATGACTGGTTTGGTTAATTTTCAGAAGACGTGGCAAGACGGGTTCAATGGCTGTCATTTAAATGACAGGATATGGCATTACAGTCCAGGAACAAGGAACTGAATCGCTAGAAGGCAGACACTTCCTCCGAAATGACAGCTAAATAGAATACAAACTGGTGTTTTTCCAGTTTTCTGACCCACCTCCATCGCTTACAACTTCAGTCAGGCTCCAGTTTGAAAATGCTGCATGTTACACAGGATCCAATGTGCTTATTCAGTGTAAGCCCAATAGAAATATTCTAGCGCACCATTAGTCAGAAGATTCAAGTGAGATGTTCTGAGGTCAAGTTAGGCTGGTCAGTAACATTTCAGCACTTTAAATTTAGACTTACCAGTTGCAAATAAAACATTTGTAACAGCAGTTGGATATAAGCAGTACAGTTGCTTGGAATAACAGACATGAGACAAACAACTGACGCACCCAAAAGTCAGGCTTGGGCTAACCCCAGAACCTGCATATGATGACTAAAAATACTGATGTTGAATATTACCATCATCTGAACTACACAAAAGGAAGAGGCACTAAACATACTCCATTCAAAACTACCAAATAGACAGGATATTGCCATATACGTACTGTTCAACTGTAACTTCTTCCTCGCTGTTGGAGTTTTGATGCCATTAGCCCCTCTCTGTGAATGTCTCTCCTTAGCGAGGGAGGACTTGGAAGCAGAATGTTTCGATTCGATTTCCAACTCAACAGGTTTTGGTTTTGTGGCACTCCGAACACCACTTTCTGTCTCTTTTTTCAGAGGGGAAATGATGTCCAAAGGAATAAATGAGTTTGAAGAGTTTAGGATGCCACCTCCTTTCTTATTAGCGTCTTTCAGCTTAGAGAATATGTCAGGGGACAAAGTCTTAAAGCATTTCCCATCCCAAGACTGTTTTACATAGAAGATGTTTTCCTTGTGCAATGCAGTAGGCGGTTCCTCATTCAGATGTAGGGGTATTACCTGTAAAAACAGAAAGTACCAAAACACACATACCTTAACATTTACTGTTAATTTAGCATTCAAGTATTTTCATAGCATTCAACTATTTTCTAATCATATATCTTGTTATTGGAACTCATGCAATCCTTCGTTATATAGGGAAACATGTTCAACCTACATTTGCACTAGCATAAGCTTATTGCACTACAGAACTCCCATTCACATAACTTTTTCACATACAAACCTGTAAATGAGCTGGCTGCCAACATCCAAAGCGATTTTAGGATGGAAAAAAGAATATTAAGTTTTCAATGATCCTAACATATGTCAACTGCAGTAACAAATACACATCACAAATTTGGTTTGGGAGGGAATAAAGTAGCTGCACTGTTCTATTATGCTTTCCAGATTGGTTCTGTTTCTTCCCTGTGTGTGTAGAGGGGCTGCAGTACATACCATGGTGCTTTTAATAATGGTCTCTGCAGCAATATCAGTGTCAAAGCCAGGAACCTGATCAAAAAACACCTCTTGGGAAGAAACCTCTCTTTTAAGCAGTTTCCGTTTGTTCGGTGGTACCTCTGTAACACGAGAGAACCACTGCACAACCGCACGTTTCACCTGAGCACCTGCAACAGCGAAAACAAGTCAGTGAACAGTAAGAATTTTATTGTATCCCAAACAGTTATTACCAGACCTCAGTGACTTGAAGCTGAAATGCCATCAAGGATTGAAATCCACCCTGAATACGAGTGAGAAAGCATCAGAGGAGAGATTTCAATTCCCATTTTCTAAACTAAATTAAAATGTTTGACCTGAGACTTTTAAGGACTAAGACAACCTACACAAGGGTATCAATGGGAACACCTGGAGACCAGGCTCCAGACACTATTACAAATGAAGAGGTTCCTTATTTGCATAGATGTGATCCAAGTGAACCCCACTATCCAAAAGCAGCAGCATAGAAGGAGAACTGAGAAATTTCCCAATGTTATTTTTAATGTCAGTGTATTTTAAAAGTAAGGCAGGAACATATTCACTGCCTAACAAACCAGCACATCCTGCTGCTGACAGATCTAGGAGGAAAATCTGTTTGTAGCATTTATTCAGACTAGGTGTGTAGAGAGCTGAAAGAAACAACTGGAACATACTACAACCGCATACTAGGTTACTCTCTACATTATAAATGTTCATCTTTGAATGAAAACAAAGCCACATTTCTTTAAACAAACTTCTCAAAGATATATAACAAAAGGAGAATCTTGTTTTCAAGGATGCTTCATGGATTTCTTTCCAGCACGAAAAGAATATTCAGTTATGTTACAATAAATGTGTATTAGTAAATAAAGAAGCTGCAGTGAGATGCATTTATGTTTTTAAAAAGAAATATAAAAAACCCCAACATTAAAACATTATTATGCTGGCCCAAAACAAACCACAAGTGTTGAAAGAAATCAGACATTGCTAATGAGTAGTTTCTAATCCAGACAGTCTTTGTATAGCCTTCCATGATTTATCTTTTTATATTTATATTTACCTACAAACAATCAGTTCTGCAAGGGGCAGAAGTGATGAGCCCCATTTATCCAGCCTTGTACCTTGCTGCTAAGTAACCTGATGTCTAATGAGATGCAAGTTCCGGGGCTGCAGTGCCCTTGCTCCACTTGGATTCTGCTGTCTAAATAAAGCATGAGCTCACAAGGTCTTCTCAAGAGCTGTTTCTTTTAAATTAGGCAGCTAAGCAAGAAGATTGCAAGTATTTCATCTTTAAGCTGTCTATTTACCTATAAAATCTAGCTGAAGTTTGCTATCAGCCCCAAATAACTGGGGAGCATGTCAATATAGAAGCACTGATTTCCTTAGTAAATTAGGTCAGTGGTATAGTGTGAAAGCTCACTTCGCCCCCATGTAATAGGCAACTTAAGAACATTTTATGATTTCTCAGATAGGAAACGAGGTTTTATTTCTCACCATCTTCATACAGATCCAGGAGCTGTGCCACAAAAGGTTCATCTGCGTTCTCCCCTTCTACTAAAATAAAGTCACCGACTCGTATGCAGTTTTCTGTTCCGCTTCTTTCTGAGGTAATAAGGATTCCCCTATAAAATGAAACACATGTGCAGATGAACAGGATTTCATATTCCTCATAAGTCACATATCGCTAAAGCTGATGGCCTGTCAAGTTCAGAGCTGCTTACGCCCCTTCCTGCAAAGCTTACAGTTCAGTTTCCCAATTAAAAGCTTACATATGTATTTCAATTTGAGTTAATGCTTATTCACAGATTACTTACATGTCTTTGGTTACACATTATAGACTAATAATGCAAAAGCCTTATACTTTAGTTATAGACATGCCACGTCCTAACGCAATGCCCAAAATTGACTGCCACGTTAACCTAAACAATGTCGGAAAGGCAAAGAAACCTTCATGGATGGAGTTTCCCTGAGCAAGCCAGAAATAAATGTTACTTACTTGTACTTTGTAGTCCTCAGTTTCCTGTCCAAGCTCATGGGCTTCCCATACCAGGAGTAGATAACTTTGCTTTGCTGCCGGGTGTTCATGATTCCCAAGGAAAAGCTAAAACAAATAAGCAATTGTTTAATTAGTGTTTAACAATAAAAGCAGGGAAAGACTCAAGATGTTGAGATACAGAAACCCCATCCCCTCCTTCATCGTGCATGAGAAACGTGGTGTGTGTCTGGTGATCCAGACAAGCCCTACCTTTCCCAGAGCATGCGGGCGCCTATCCCCTGAGGGTGGACGGGAAGTGAGGTGATTCGCAGTGGCTCGTTCAACACTGGGCTTTAGGAGCACACCTCCCAGTCGCTGATACACTTCCATCCCTGGCAGTGTTCAAGGCCAGGTTGGACACAGGAGCTTGGAGCACCCTGCTCTAGTGGAAGGTGTCCCTCCCCGGGGTAGGGGTTGGAACCGGATGAGCTTTAAGGTCCCTTCCAACCCAAACCATTCTGGGATAACTTTGTGACAAACACGCAATTCCCTGCCTGCTTTGCTTATTCACAGCGGTGGTTATCAGCCGTTCCCTGCTTACCGCCGGGCCTTCCCTCTCCGCGGGGCCCGCCGAACCCCGCCACGACGGTTGCTTTAAATTTCAGGGGTTCTCATTATTTTTCTCTTTTCCTCCCATAAGGAAGACCGTTCCCTCCGGAAACACCCCCCTCACCCGCCCCAGGCCGCTTAGAGAGAGCTCGGCCAGGGCTCTCCCTCAGGGAACCCGCTGCCCCTCCGCCGGTGCGGCCATGGCGCCGGACGGGGCCATCAGCACCACCGGAGGCGCTCCATCACCTCGCACAGAGCCACTCACCCCGCGGCGACACCCGCGCGCGTGCAACGGCGCGCTCCCCTACGCGCTCGAGAATAGAATTCCGCGCCAAACCCGTCCCCGGGGCCCCGCCCCCGCGGCGCGCGCAGAAAGGGGCGGGAAAAGGCCGACCAGGGACGTGCGCCGCCATGTTTGTTCCTGGCGCTCTGAAGCTGAAGGGGGTGTTCTAACCCGAAGATAAGATGGCGGCCCCCAGCCGTAGCCCGGAAGCGGAAGCGGGCGCAGCGCCTCACGGAAGGGGTAGAGGGGCGGCCCGGCCCGGGGCTGAGGTGTAGCGGGCGCCATGGCGAACCGGACGGTGAAGGATGCGCACAGCATCCACGGCACTAACCCGCAGTACCTGGTGGAGAAGATTATCCGCACCCGCATCTACGAGTCTAAGTACTGGAAGGAGGAGTGCTTCGGGCTGACGGGTACGGAGGGCGGGCTGGGGCGGGAGGGTGCGGGCGCGGAGCAGCGCTGACGGCCGATCCCTCTTGTAGCCGAGCTGGTGGTGGACAAGGCCATGGAGCTGAAGTACGTTGGGGGAGTCTATGGTGGGAACATTAAGCCTACGCCGTTCTTGTGCTTGACGCTGAAGATGCTGCAGATCCAGCCCGAAAAGGACATCATCGTGGAGTTCATAAAAAACGAGGACTTCAAGTAAGTTGGTGGCTTCATTTTTTCCTCTTTTGGTTGCCGTACTGAATGAAATTAACCAAAACAGCCGGGGAAACTTCAGGGTATGGTTTAGTGGGTCCTGATGAACTCTTCTTGCTAAAAGGTATGGTTTTCCTGGTGCTGTCAAGAGTGCTCTGCTGGTCACCTGGTCGTTGGAACGCTTGCCTCTGTGCCATGGGGATAGAATGCCTCCTGTTGATGTGCTGGGAATAGGACACCACCACCCCAAGTATCTAGGATGCGGTGCATTAATCAGCTTTCAGTACCTAAAGAGCCTGACGGGGAATCTGGAGGGACTTTTTACAAGGGCCTGGAGGGACAGGACAAGGGGGAACAGCTTTAAACTGACAGGGGGGAGATTGAGATGAGACATTAAGAATAAATTCTTCCCTGCGAGGGTGCTGAGGCGCTGGCACAGGGCGCCCAGAGAAGCTGTGGCTGCCCCATCCCTGGCAGTGTTCAAGGCCAGGTTGGACACAGGGGCTTGCAGCAAGCTGCTCTAGTGGAAGGTGTCCCTGCCTGTGGCAGGCGGTTGGAACTGGATGAGTTTTAAGGTCTCTTCCAACCCAAACTATTCCATGGTTAAGGGAGCCATGTTCATCTACTTTTCCTTCAGTATTTTTGTCATCTTTGTGAGTGCTAATGCACTAAATAATAAAAATATGTATATAATTTATATAACATAATAATAAAATGATGCATGTATAGTTGAGTATATAGATACTTACATATATACTTCAGTACTTTAAGGAGAAAATCTCAATGGTTATGTGCTCTATTTCAGTGTACTGAATTACTTCAGAATCTTACAGGGAAACCTCTTAACTTCAAACTTTACCAAAAGCCAAGTTCCACAAAATGGTTTCGTTTCAGGTACGTCCGAATGCTGGGTGCGTTGTACATGAGGCTGACAGGCACTGCCATTGACTGCTACAAGTACCTGGAACCCCTGTACAATGACTATCGGAAAATAAAAAGCCAAAACAGAAACGGGGGTAAGCACTCCTGCTTGGCGGTGGGTTCTTAGTACCTCATAGGTGACCTGTTGTTAAGAACACACGTCCTACTGGGTGGAAATAAATATTCTTTTTAGTGATATAAGCCTGAAAATTGTGGCATAACCACCTTTTTGAAATCTTACTTTTTCATTGTTTCAGTAGTTGCTGGTCTTGCTGACTTACACAAATGGGAACTGCCTTGCTTATTTTGCTTTCCTCAAGTGCTTGTGTTTCCTATTGGGCACTGAAATGCAGTTCTATAAATACCAAAGCAAACAGCATTTGAGTGCTGTTTTAGCACTGTGAATCTGCTAATCCCAGCTGTGCAGTAATTGCCTTTTTGCAAGGCAGGCCTAATGATTTTCCTCGTCTTTGAGAAGGATTCTACAACTGTTGTTTGTACAACCCACTTGAAGTGAATTGTCTCAAGTGTTTCATCTTTACTGTAGCCACCAGTGTTCATCTTCTTTGTCTTTTCAATGCTGTTTTTTTGCTCCCCCAGAATTTGAACTGATGCATGTGGATGAATTCATTGATGAATTACTCCACGAGGAACGTGTATGCGACATCATTCTGCCTCGATTACAGGTTTGGAAAAGTAGATGGTAATGGAATTCTTAACTGCATCAGATTCAGTGGTTGAATCAGCTGCTGGCTTGCTGTGTAAAACTACAATACAGGCCCTTTCAGCACACAAGCTGCCTCCTCAGGTGTTTGTTCTTAACTGGGGTTGAAGATAAAGTTGTGATTTCTCATAGAAACGATACGTCCTGGAAGAAGCTGAGCAACTCGAGCCTCGTGTCAGTGCTCTGGAAGAAGACATGGATGATGTAGAATCTAGCGAAGAGGAGGAAGAGGAAGATGAAAAGGTTGGTGAAGTACTTTGGGAAGGGATAGTTGAAGCTGGGGTTGGACCACTGCAAAAAAACTTTATGGCCTGTGAGAAATATTTGAGGGGAGACATCAGGAGGCTGCTTGCAACTCCTATCTCCCCCTTAATATATTTCCATATACGCTGCTTGTAAGAACTTGTTACACCTTGGAATGGTTCTCAAGTGCTCTGTGTTTGTCCACCTTTTCTGTCTCCTCAAATTCACAAATCTGGACCTGCTCTGTGTTAAATAGGTGATGATGAAGGTTATGGTAATCATCATAGTCAGTTCTGCTCTACTAACAAACAATTAGCAGGGAGAGGTGACCGGTAATTTCCACTTGGCAAACTCGGGCATTACCACTCACTTCTGAATATGAAAGACTTGAGGGTGGGGCCACATCATCCCGGGGCTGTTGTAATTTATATTCCTTGCTCAGAAAGCTTTACCGATTAAAAACTTGGATGAAACAAAACCTCTCCCCTCCCTGCCATGGTTTCCAGCTGGAACGAGCACCATCACCTGACCACCGCAGAAGAGGCTACAGAGACCTGGACAAACCTCGCCGATCTCCTGCTGTGCGGTACAGGCGGAGCCGGAGCAGGTCTCCAAGAAGGTGACGTGGCTCTTTTTGAGCAACATTTTTACCTATCATACTGCAGATGGCTGGAGCAAAGCATAGGAGATGACAGTTCGGCCAGGATCTCTTACACCTCCCAATTCCTTTAGCTGCTTTCTGAAGGAAGGAGCTGCGGTGCACTGTCACAGTCACCCTGTCTGCCTCTTTCTCTAGCCTGTAACTCTTGAACTTGCTGGTCAACTCTACTGGACGATATAGCAAAGATACTAAGGAGAACCAAGTGCCTTGTTTTCCTGTAAACCAGAGGGTGCAGAGATAATCCAGTTAACAGTTCTTAGATAGTATGTCAGAAAAAATCACTGACCTCATTTGTTCACTGTATGGGCCAGCCCAGAAACCTCCTGTGCAGCAGGCCAAACACACACTGAGGACACAGGGGGAAGTCCAGAACATAAAACAGCTGGTTCTGCTAATGATTTTTAGTGACTTTTTCTTTTCTCCCCCAATCACAGGCGAAGCCGCTCTCCAAAGAGAAGGAGGTAGTGTTTTACTCTATTATTTAATCTTAGCCTGTGTGCATTTTTAGTATGGCTCTCTTAAAAGCTTCCTCTCTCTCAGCCCATCGCCACGCCGAGAGAGGCATCGCAGCAAAAGCCCGAGGCGACACCGGAGCAGATCCAGGGAGAGGCGGCACAGATCGAGATCTAAATCTCCAGGTAGTTTTGTCACTCACAGATTAACTCTGGCAAGTCTTTATCAGTAGAACATCCACCTCCAGAAGTCAAGGTATCAAGAAGGTAGCATAGGTGCTTAATCTGGCTCATAAAACTGCTCATTATATGAAAGCACAGCTGGAAAACTCCTTTAATACATCCAAAATTGCCTTCAGCAACTTTTTCAGCTAAACCAGGAGGTTAATATGAGTGCGTAATTAAGAGTGGGGTTGCTCTGGCATTATCTAGGATACTTGGTCACTAGAAGCAGATTGCATGAGCAAAACAAGAAAGAATTCAGGGTCAATGGAAGTAACTGTTACTTTTTATCTCCTAGGTCATCATCGTAGTCACAGACACAGAAGTCATTCCAAATCACCTGAAAGGTAAAAGTTTGGCTTGTTTCTTAAGGGTGTGTGTACTGCTGTAGGAGCTCTCCCTTGTCATTTAATCTTGGCAACTGAAAGTCTTCTTACACGGTTAGAGATCAGGTATTTCATACAGTTCCCTTGGTATTGCAGTCAAGTCACACTGTCAGTATTTGACCATAGAAGACACCACTTAATACTGTCAATCACTTTGGTCTTTCCAAGCAGTTACTAGTACTGTGTCATGTGGCCTTTCTGTTTTTCTGCTTCAGATCTAAGAAAAGTCACAAGAAGAGCCGGCGAGGGAATGAATAACAGACTATATCCAGCCCACAGTTCAGGGACCTTGAACTGCAGTCAAATACTGTTCTATCTGCATTATGGGACAGCTGGATATGTACTGGCTGCTTTAGCAGTCCATTCCTTTAATCCTCCTTCTGTACAAGTCCTGTTTGTTTGTTTGTTTTTAACTAAAGGAAAGGTAAGGACATTTTTTATGTAGCTGCATATCCTCATGATGTAACTTGAGATCTCTTTTTAAATTGTTTTTCTCAAGGCCTGTAAAAAAACAGTGAAGAGCAATAAAAAAAAAATGGGGCTTCTGTCTTTAGACCTTTGTTGCTGTTTCTTTCATTATACTTTGTTTAGTTGAAACTGGCTTCATTCTCAAATCAGGTGCTCATGTGAGAGTATGTTCAAGTTACAGACACTGAAGAGCCACCAGCCTGAATGATTTCAAACCTCCAGTACAGGAAAGAAATGAAGACTCTCCTAATCCAGTATGTCTACTAAAAGCAAGAGTTAAACAGCTCTCCCACACACAAAAGAATCAGTAACAGCTATGTAAGAATCGCCCTTAGTTCTAACACTGTCGGACAGTTTAGAAGCTTCAAGTAGTACAAAACACTGCAGCTCTTTAGGCAACAGGTTACCTGCTGTACTTAAAGACAGTAAGCCACTACTGTGAGCATAGTTCATGGCCTGCATGTGACAGAACATGGCAAAACTAGGCTCAGCTCTGCCTTCTCTCAGTGAATTTAGCATTCAGCAAGTCTCGTCTTTCAAACAGAGAATCATTAAGCTCCTATTCTAGTTACAGTTCTCAATACAATTATGTATCGCTGGAAATCAGTTGTTAACCCCCTTGTGTACCATCCCTTTATTCATAGTCTTACTTTGAGAGCAGGGATGACAAGTTTAGCTCCTGAACACTGCATTTAACTGACATTTACAGTGTTGACAACACAAGAAGTAATATGGAAAAGTCCCTTTCAAAAGGCAGAGCCTGATTTGCAAAAGTTTATGAACACACAAGCACCTATACTCTTCCCTAAAGTGTTTTACACCACACGCAGTGGCTGTGAGCAGCACGTGCAATGGCAGCAGCATGGGGAAAACCAGATCTACTGCTGGTAGGACTCGTTCAAGATGCTCACCTTTCATCTCTTCTTTGAGATACCTGAATTAAAGCCATTTTTATTATCCAGGTTTCCTGATGCCAGTTAGATGCAAGCATGCATACAAACAGGGAAGACGAAAAAGTCTTCTGTCCTTTTTTTTGCAGTTTTATTTTTCTTTTAAAAAGGTTTTTGGCACTACATCGTTCTGTAAAGAATAGAAGTGACAAATTTTTAAACACATGAAATCCCCTTCTAATTTTATTCTTTTCTTTTTTTTAGAACAATATATATAAAGTCTGAAGCAACCAAAGTATGAATACAGCTAATAGAAAATAAAGAACTTAATTTTAAAAATTCTCTCTCTTTACAGTTTATCAAGATAAACCAAAACACAATTCCCCTTAAAAATAGGGTAATAAAATAGATGAAATTTGTATCACTCGGCTTCGTGATACGAGTAAAAACTATAGTTCATATCTATGTACAAATGATACAGTTTAAAAACAGTCTTAAATAATCTTGTATCTAAACACGTTGCATTAAGGTTTTAAATCAGAACCTGAATTTCTTCCTCCCCTCCTCCCCCCACCCGCCCCAGTCCCACTGAATTTCACTTTTTCTGTTGAATGTAATTCAGATTCAAGTGTGGGTGTCCTTGAGACAGAAGCGAGAACCGCTGGTTACTCTGCATCAGTGGACCAGCTAAAAGAAAATGGATTACAATTACTTCAGCAACTTAAATATATTTAACAGTGCTTGGCTATATTCAATGTACTAGTCTTACTTAGAAATAAATAGAAATAAAGCCATTTACTAGCCTGACACAAGTGCTATCTGAACAACTACCCCATTTAATGGGACAATGCAGTCATCACTTTCATCCTAGCTGCAAAATTCCCTCACCATCATCAAGACATCATTTTGGTGCATTGGTTTAGTTACTTAACAAATAGAACTTCAGGATTTTTAAATCTGGGTCTCACTTGGACACCTTGCTACAGCAAATGGATTTTGAAAAACAGATTTGGTGCCAGTATCTCTCATTTTATACCAGGTGACCCAACTAAATGGGAATTGCAGGACTCTCAGTAAAATTTGGGTACAGTTTCTCTTTTGGTGGAGCCAAAGGTGGTCTTCCTACACCCTACCAGATGCTGAACACCTTTACCACTCACTAGCATCAGAAAGAGTGGAGATAAAGTCAGTCCTTCTGAACCTGACCTAACTGCCACTAGTGCTGCTCTGACTGCAGCTGGGTTGGACTGGCTGACTCCAGAAGCCCCTTCCAACCTGGATTATTCTCTGGTCTTGCAAGTTTGTATCTATTTAAGTCATTCCCACAAGAAAAGGAATTAGGACAAAAATTTCTTCATTTTAACACATCCAGGGGCAAATCATCTTAACCTCTATTGAAGCAGAGATGGCTCTACAGTGAGGCAGCAGCAGTGAAGGAGAAGAAGCAACAGACTGCAAACTGGCTCAGATCTCAGGATTTGATATAACCCCATCCCTCCCACAATGATTTTCATCCATCCATCCATCTATCCATACAGGAAGCCGAAGTGTTGATTTGACTCTTGATTTCATTATGGTTCCGGGAGCCTAGCAATTGGAACATGATTTCCTTGGCTTTTACAGCCTTTGAGACAGTAAAGAGACATGTTGCATGAGCTGTTGATTCATATACTAATTCTAGTACCTTGAGGGTAGAAAGGTTTGTTCGGTGGGTAGCTGGCATTTCCCTGCTGCATGTAGTTCTGAGGCATATTGTAAGGCCACGCTCCTCGGAGGAGAGGAAAATGGGTAGGGGTCCCATGGTCCCAAGGGACAGAAGGAGGGTTCATTTTACCAAACTGTCCTTGGAAACCCTGATCTAGTTTTCAATTGAAAGGGAAAAGCACATTGCAAGTTGAAATAATTAAACAGTAAGTCACAAATACAGTTTACATCTTAAATAACAATTTGTAGGGGACTTATTGAGATTAGTCTGATGTGCTACTCTTGCTCTTGTTAAAACATACATCAGTAAAAATTACCACCTAAATTACTTTGTTATTCACTAGAACAGAATTTATTGGGGAGAAAGACAGAGGATGAATCAGTATTAAAATCAAGACCTACATTTTCACTATTCCTATGTCATTCTCGTGATGAAAAACACAACGGCTGAACAATGTTACTAATATCTGATCCCACAACAATATTCACTATCACTGACATAGCTGCGACACGAAAGCTATTATCCTACTGCAAGAAATCTTGGATGTACACTGGAATTCCATTAATTCTTGTATGCTTAAGAAACTTGGTATCTAGGTCATCAGACCAACTTAAAATGGAGATTTAGAGAGGAAAATCAAAGCTTTTTAAGTGAGTACATAAATTGTAACTATTCTATTTACAAATCCAGTATTACTGCAGCATTAAGGATGAGAAATCAAGCATCCAAGGAGTCAGGACACACAACAGTTGATGGCAAATGCTATATTCATAGCTCCCAATTTTGTAAGACAATTAGCTATGCCTGCTAATATAAACACCTCATCAATGTACATTCAAAAATGAATAAAGACATTTAAGTAACTATCCTTCAGTGTATCAGTTCCCCTTCAGACAGACTTCCATTAAATAAAATCGACATGTTTATATAATAAAACATGGATCATGGCTCTGGAGTGTGCATGAAAAAAAGTTGTCTGTAACTCCTAACGGTCTGGTTTCTGATCAATTGTCTGCTGAAAACAGAGCTCCTCCTTCCAAGTCAGTGAAAGAATGTGAGGAAAGAGTTTCCACAAACCTAAGTGTTCTCAAACATCCCAAGCAAGTAAGAAAGCAAGCTTCAAACACAGCACACAGCTCATCACTGTTTGTGCCTTCCCAGCCACCCCACTTTAATGGCATTTAAGCCAAACAGAAAACAAAACTGATTTAAATACAAAGAGAAAAAAATACTGTAACTGGGAACTAGGGAAAGCAGTGTGATAAGGCTGGAAATACATGGAAGCTGAGCAATTGAGGGGAGGAAATACTGTGAACGAGAGTACAAGAGCACTGGGAAACCTGTACAGGCACAATGACAGTGGAAGCAAACAGACTGAGAGTGAAAGGAAAAGGGACTGACTGACTAAATGATGAGAAATGGGATGTGTTGACGGAGAATGGAGAAGATACTAGGATCTGGGGAGCCTGTCTGAAAGAAAGCAGCTACCTGGATAACAAGACTTGGATTGGAAGGAGCTCCTTGAGAAAGTCAGAGCAGGAGGTGGACATGGAGGAGGGGGCAGATGAGCCTGGACAGAGGATTAAGATCAGAAATGGAGAGATAGGGACAAAGCCCACTGAAGGCACAAAAAACACTGGGAGCAGTTTTTGCATCGCCTATTCTCCACAGAGCTCTGAATAGAACAATATCCAACATTTCAACAAATACTTGCAACTTGCTGGTGAATTACACCTCATCCAGCACTCTTGGCTCAGCTGAAAATCTACTGTTGCTGTCAGTTGCCTTACCAGTTCAGAGAAAGGCTGTGCAGAAGGTTCAACATTTCCATCTCGTGGTGAGCAACTGCATTAGTACATTGTATGATGGATACAGTTTTTTAAACATAGGAGAAGTTACACACTTGGAATAAACCAAAACACCATTATTATGATTGAAAGATCACAGTTAAAATTTAGGGGTTGCCATGGTTTCTACTGCACAGAAAACTGTACGGGCTTTAATCACAACACTGCTTTTCTCAGCCTCAAGCACACAGATGTGCTTGGCTTTGGCATGAGGCAAAAGGCTGCTGCCCACTTTGTCGCAGGGAGAATCTATGAAGTATTTTCAGGAAACAACATTGACATTATGGTGGTTAAACGTGGCAGGATAAACTATAGGAAAAAAGAATGCCTAAGATCACGTTATACTGCACTCAGTGCAAGGAGGCAATATTCAACTTGCACTAACATAATTCTGCCAGTCTCTAAGTTTGTAGCTGCAGTCTCAACATGCTCCTAATAAGCTACCTAACACAAACAGAAGCATAGTCACAGAAACATGCTTTAGACTCAAACAATCACCAGACCATTTCTCAGTTGAATGCATGATTTCTCATGTCTTGCACAGCCACTAATGGCAGACAGGACCAGTGCTTAAAAGTTACGATGATCAAACACACCTAGTTTTTTTTCCTATGAAAACATTAAGACAGTGAAGGTGATGACTTAGTTTCTTAAGCATCTTATTTGTAATATCAAACAAGTTGAAAGAGTTAGCTGTTTCTGTAACACTTAACACTTGTACACAAAGTGCGAGAGGTTTGATACAACAGAGAAGAGTTACCTGAATTCCCCACAGTGCCATTGTTCACCAGTGAGTTTGGAGTCACAGGATTGTGCCAGTGTCCCTCATGAGAAGTGCTGGGGATTCCCATGGGCCTGGCAGCAGGCTGTGCAAAGATGATACTGGGATCATTCAAGCTTACACTGCTCTGGTTATTTGGGGTGCTGCTGCTGCCAGATCTCATAGAAAATGGAACATTTGTAGAATGAGGAGGGTTACCCGGTGCAGAGTGAATAACGGGCCCATGAATAGGCCAAGAAGTGTTGGGAAGCTGAATTTGGTGGTGATGGTGCATCTGAAGTAGTCCCAGGTTATGCAAGGTGGAATACTGACCTGGGGGAGATTGGGGAAAGTTAAACAAAGGCAGCTGGACCTGATGGGGTGGCTGTGCACCCTGCTGTGGTTGCGGAACGTGCTTAGACTGGGATATTGGTTGTGGCTGAGTCTGGTTAATGGAGGCTGGCTGAGAGGAATTCTGTGTAAATTGTTGAGGTTGTGGAGAGTAAGATGACTGATGCGAATCAGACTGGAGGGGAAAAAAAAGTATGTATTTCTGATTAGTTCACTAGCTATTTAATGGTGTTTAATAAGCACTCACTGTATTAGACTATGCATAAAAAAAGGCAAAGCACTCCCCAGCAACACCCCAAATACTGTGCCCAAGCTCCTGCTGGTTTAAGTAAGTACAGTTAGACTGACACTGATTTTCACCATTAGATAATTTGGTCTGTTAATGTGGCACATCCCAGAAACATCATTCTGAGCAAGCATTAGCCCCAAGCTCTTCATTAGACTCCTCACACATCTGTTTTTGGCTTTTAATCACTGTCTTCCCCACCCTACTTATTTACTGCCCAGAATCTCTTAACACATTACCTTACCTCTGAATAGAGTCGTTCTTATTACTACAGACACTTTTTAAAGTCATTACAAAGTAAGCT